GATAGACAATTCCCTGTCGATAAATAAAATAAGTATATAGTGTAAAAAAAAAACAAATTAAATAATATAAAAATAACTCAACATCCTTCGTTAACATTTCGATAAATTTTTTAATTTCGATAAACACGAATTGTTGGTTGCAAATTGAATATGATAAGTATAACGTGTATATTATAATAGATAAGAAATTTTGTTTACTTAAATAGACGAGGATGATTTTCCCAGATGTTTATTGTCATTGTGACTATGAAATTATTTTTAATGTTACTTATCTTAAAGGAGTAACTTGACTTACATCTGTGGGAATTGCATGATTTTTTGTCTCATAGAGATATTCCTAATAAAGAAATTAAATAGAGTAAACATGAGAAGTCTTATCTATGATGTAGTAATTATCAAATGATATGTATGGTTCATATGAGTACTTACTTATTTTAAGTGTTATCGAGTGTTAATCTATTTTTATACTGCATATTTATTTTAAAGAGGTTTGATTATAATAATGATAATCAATTTCATGATAACATGGATGATAATGAGTTGTCAAATGCTAAAGATTTCATGAATTATATAGAAATTTACATGAATAGATTAAACACTATATGTGAAGTCAGTAGAAGTCACAAGTTTCCAACTATCGCAGATACTACTACCTAGAAAATATATATTACAGAATAGAGAGAAGTATGTGATGAAATGTCCATAAAAGCAAGTTGAATTTATATTGGTACACTTTTCAAAGCAATTTACTTCTATATTCAAGCGGAGAGAAAAATTTTTCAAGTTGATTTGAATATGTTAAAGAAAAGTGTAAAACTTAAGTTTTGCAAAGTGATACCCGAAAAATCTGTATATATATTGAATAGATATAAGCAGGTATATTTACATATTTATTCGATATAATTGAATACTATAATATTAACGAGTAGATTTTAATTTCAGGCTTTTGATCATATTTATGATCTGATTGTGAAATTCGAATCAGAAAATATACCCAAAGAAATATGATATAAAATTATAGGTATTACCAGTATTTCACTGAGATTTTTGTCTGAGAGTAATAAGAAAAGGAAGAAACACAAAGAAATTTACGAAAATTTTGTAGAATTGATTATCAATAAATATAGAGAAAACAATTTGTAAATTTATTGAATCATGTAAAGAGCAAAATGATTTATGAATTTATTAATAAAAAAAAACAAAAAAAAAAAACACTTAAAGTTTTTTCGATAAAACTGACTATACAGTTTTAAAAATGGAATACATTTGTTTGAACAATTTTTCTAGTATTATCCCCAAGATAATGTTTAAAATTTTTGAGGTTTCTCCAATAACAAACCAAGAGAAATCCAAAACAAATTCAATCATATTTTTGGATACATCTTCTATGTCTTGATTTGGTCTTAATAGAGTCTTTAAAAAGTATAGTGAAGAGTTGAATGTATTTATTAGATAGATTAAACATATTTTTATAAATTCCAAAGTTTCGAATTTATCCGTGGCTTTGTACTCAGTGACAATAGGTGGAATTTCTAAGTCTTTATTAAAATTAGTATGAGAGTTTTTTTACAAAACAAAATTAATCTTACATTACCTGGTTTCGACTTAGAGATGACCAGAGCAGCCACAAAAAGTATAATGAATAATAATATGATTGATTTTAGAATTCTTTTTACGAAATTCATTTTTTTTTTTTTTTAAAAAAATTTCTGATCGACAAATTCTTTTTATTTAGTGATTTACTGTAATTAACATAAAAAAACTTTAGATATACTTACAAGATTTAACAGGTATACTAATGATTTTATAATTTGGATCAATTACCATATTTGTAACTATATGTTATATAAATTTAATCTTGATTTTTTTAGCGAATCTTAAATTAATCGCGATGACTCGTATCTGCAAAAGCGATATCCCAGATATACAAATATCAACGAATGATTACGAGAAGTACAAAAGCAAGTTTCCCACCACGTTGGTTTCAGGAAAAAGATTTTCTGATCAACTCAGAGTACATAGCATATTGAGGAATATTAAGGAAGATAATGGTTTCTCAGGAGAATTTTTTACTACTACTCGATGCTTTGCTAATAGTATGAATCTTATTTGTTAATTATTATTTGTTAATTATCATTTGTTAATTATCATTTGTTAATTATTATTTGTTAATCTAAATTAATTATTAGGTCTCGAATCGATTACAATAAAAACCCTGAATGAAAATCAACAATTGATATCGCACGATAAGAACAATGTATCTGATTCTCAATTTGTTAATTATAAGAAAAATGATCACGAATGTAATATCACAAATCAACTTCAGTATCAAGCTGTTTATATATATCAAGGAGACAGTAATCAGAACAACGCTGAACAAAAAATTAAATCAGTAATATTCTATTTAAGAATTGTTATCATTTCGTTGACATTGATTTGTTTATTTATATACAAGGTATGTAATATAATTTAAATTAAATTAATATTAAATATATTTATTAAATTTAATTTATTATAGAATAATATTATCTTAACGAATGTTAATGAAGTATTGAAATCAGTAAGTATATTCAAATACTATTCAATGGTTTAATTTTATGATATTAATCATTTATAATTAGTCATACGATAAATTATATGAGTTATTAGAAAAATCATTTGAATATGAGAGTTTTTTTTAAATTTTATACTATTATTTATAAAGACTAAATAATTATATTTGGTAGGTAAATATATTCACGGCCTACAAAGTTAACTATAATGTTCTCAAAAAAAATTTTACTGAGCTTGAAAGGAATTATATAACTTTAAATGATAAACATATGAAACTCGAAGAAGAATACATAAATATTAAGAATAATTATACTAATCTTATAATAGAATTAATTACTAATAAAAGAGATTTGAAAACAGCATAAGAGAATAATACTAACCTTGAATTAAAGTTTAATAATATTGTAAAAAAGTTAAACAATACTTTTGATTATATTACAAATCTAACGATAAATTTAATGGTTATGAAGGATAGGCTTAAAAATATAAATGACACTAATTCGGATCTTCAAACAAAAATTATTAATACCGAAAGGGAATTAGAAGCATCAAATAAGAATATTACAGTACTTAATGATAAAATCAAATCACTTGAGGAGGAGATTAAGATATTAGATAAGCAGAGAATCAAAGATGAAGAGAGAAAAAAAGTATTAAAAAAATTAAATGACACGTATAAAGATCTACAGGATACTTGTAACAAGATAAGGCGAGAGAAAATTGATGAGGAAACAAAGAAATATAAAGATATATTGAAAGATACAGAGAGATCATTAAATGATAATGATGAGTGTTAAATTTCTAACATCTTTTATTTTTTTTTTATTTATTTTATTATTTTTTTTTATTTGTTAATTTTATATTATATTAATAAATAAGGGTTCTTTTGTTTTTATTTTGTCATTTAAATTTTAAATAAAGAAATAATATATGTAATATATGATTAATAAAAATAATGATAAATTATATATTGTTATGATATGATATAAACTATGTAGTTTATGAGAGGAAATGGATAGTTACTTTTAACATGATGAAATATATAAAAATATTCGTAATATTTGCACTACTTAACATTTCAATGCTGGGTATAGTTTCGTCTACTCAAAGATGTGACAGTGCTAAGAGAGATATAAATAAATGTTGTTGCTCTAATAACGCGAGGTTAATTGAATGTGAGTTCAGACTTCTAATAGAATATATTTTTCCTATAAGATGTTATAACCTGGGATCTGAAGGAACATGTGATTGTAAACTATATTGGCAAAATTGCTGAATTATTTTATGAATAACATAATAATTAGGGTTAAAATACCGTTATATTTTTTTTTTACAATTTTACTTTTAGTTACATTTATATGAAACACATTCATGTATAATCAATTAAAGTTAGTTTATTATAATTGAAATATTTATAAATACATCATAAATATTATCTAATCCTTATAAAAATATCTCAAGATATAGAAACTAACAATGGACCTGAAAGAAATGAGATTATGAATCTTGATATTGACATTAAATCATATAAAAATAAAACTTCTACTGTTACAATAAACGAAAAGACAAAGGTGAGAGATATTCACTAAGTAATGTATATTTATGTACATTATCATTGTCCTATGCTGCAGTTAAGTGAGTCTTGTAACTGGTATCCCAGCAAGAAATCACCTGTGAAAATGATAATGTTCATTAGAGATGATAAACTCAATTAAGTTTCTTTTGAATGCATGATAATACGTTACTTACTTTTTTTTTCAATAGAAAATTGACTGTATCGATGTATGTTTGATATATACTTATAATATCTCAAGAAAATTAAAAGATAATAATTATAATATTTATTACGATAAACAAAGTATTATTACTGATAAGGATAAAGATATTACTGTTAAAATTGAAGATTTTAAAATTTTAATTCGTTGTAAATTTAGACCTATGAGAAATGTTTGTTATAATGATATGAATATGTTTGCATCTACATTAATGCACACTCAGGAAATCAATTAGGTTTATGATATCTAATCAAGGTTATTTTAGGGGTGCAAAAGAGATAGCTAGTAATTACAACATAATTAATTATATTGAATGAATTTATATTTTTTTTTTCGATTCTAATACTATATAGATTAACAAAATAAAATAAACTATTAAATATATTTTGATATTTTTTTTCTAAAGCATTATGATTAGTTAATTTCTATGTGTTAATGATATTTTCATCTCTGTTTCTTTCTATTTCAATTTTTACTCGTTCCAGCATATATTGAATTTTAAATTTCACTTCGACTAAATCATCCTTGTCATTTATATTCCATGCAGTATCAATGACTTTATTTGAATATTCCTTCATAATCTTCTTCTCATCTGATGTTAAACTATTCGGATTAGTTTTTAATTTTTCGCGAATAATATTTATTTGACTCTTCATATTAATTTTGATGTATTGTTTGTAAACATATCTTGTTATTTATATTGATTTTTGAAACATAATAATTTTGATAATCAAACATGAATATATAATATTATGTATAAATACTTTATAATTTTAATATTCTTTGATTACAACAATAAAACAAGATGAAGAAACAACTATTAAAAGAAGAATTTTTTTTT